GAGGACCAGAGGAAAGAGCAGCCGAGAGGGGCGCAGGGAGGCAGGTGGCGGAGGCCAGCAGAGGGGATGCAGGTCTGTCTGTAGACCAGAAGTCTGTTAGGTGAGAGCGCCTGACCAGTAACCACCTTTATTTCCCCTGCAGAGCTAGACAGGAGCTTTCTGCTTAGAATAGGGAGGGAAGTAGAGCAGAAATGAAGATAATGGTGGGAGCAAGGTCTGAGAACAACAAAGAGGGGTAGGACAAGGGAGTGGCCAGTGGCATCAAGTGGCTAGTAAGGTAAGGTCACCATGGTCTCCACCCAGCTCTGTGAATGCTGGCTGGACTGGCTGCACGTGGAGGAAGTGGGGGAGCAGGGGCTCTGGAGGGAGGCAATGTTTGAAGCACAGGCTCCCTGCGATTTTGGTGATTGATCTGGAGTTGATGAGTGAATGAATCATGAACAAGTGAGTCAGAGCTGGGTCTGAATTTAGCTTTACCATTTAGCTAATTGTGTGATCCGAGCAAGTAATGCATCCACTCTGTGCCTCAGTTTCCGAATCTCCAAAATGGGGTTCTAATAGTACTGACCAATAAGGTCATTATGAGAACTGAATGAAAGAATTCAAAGGAACTGGCACTGGAGGGCTGAGTAAATGACAGCTATGCGGATGCCGGAAGGAGGAGGAAGAGGAAAAGGAAGAAGAAAAGAAGTCAAAGAAAGGCGAGGAGGAAGAACAGAGAGGCAGGAAGAGATGACAATGTCCAGGATTATGAGGCAGAGTAACCAGAGGTCAGAGGTGACAGTAATGGAAGAGCAGAGGGTGGTGATGACATGAGCAATGAGGGTGGAGGGGCAAGGGCTAGGGTGTCATAGCAGGGAGAGCGTGGATACTTCCTGGGCCTCACAGAGGATAAGAGCTTGCTGGACAGCTGGGTCTACGGGAGATGGCTGCAAAAGAAATGGCAGAGCTTGTCTCAGAGTTTTGGAAAGGAGCCTGGAGGTAGGGACCATGAAGCGGCTTAGTGGAGGTCTCATCAAGCAGCAGGAAGCCATAGTAGCACCCTGCCACCCTTCTGAGGTGCCCTGCACTGTCTCCCAAGGTGAGGTGGTATTCCCCTGAGTTCCTTCTGCTCAGAGCCTTAGGGCCCCACATCCCTTGCAGGCCTGGCACAGAGCACAGGGCATCTAATCCCCATCCTGGGCATAAGGACCTGGTGGCCCTGTTTGTCCTGTGGACATCTAGACTGTGAGCTCACCCCTGCTGCCTTACCCAGGAGGCCCATCGCTCTGCTTCCTCCAGGCCTGGCCTCTGACCCCTGCTTTTAGGTCACTTCCTAGGTCAGACCCTACTGTCTGGACAAATACTTCACCCCCTCGTGTAACTGAGTTCTCCAGCAGGACTGCCATCTGCAGCAATACAACAATAAATAGCATTATCGTCAGGACAGACCAATAAACAGCCTTATCATTATGAAGTATCAAGCACTATGCTAGGTCCCTCTGTTTTTTTTTTTTTCTCTTGGTTAATTTTTAAAACTACCCTGAAGGATGAAACTATAGATGAGACTTTATAGATGAGACTAAATCTAAGAGGTCTAGTAATTTGCCTGAGGTAATGCAGCTAAAAAGTCAGTCTAAACTTAAGCCCAAGTCTGTATGATTCCAAGGTCTCAGCTGCTCTTAAACCATTTGGCCTCTCCCAAACCCAGTGGCCCAGCACCCCAGTGCATGATTGTGGGGCCCTGGCGAGCCCCCTTAGATCCCTCCTTCCTTCCCCAAGGACTGAATTACAGCTGGACAGTCAGGCTGTCCAGAACAACTCCCAGCCCTGTCTTCTCCCTTCCCTGTGCCCGGCTCGGACCACACCCACACCAGCTCGCCCAGGCCTCCCTGAACTGAGCACCAGCAGCAGGCCAGCTCTCCAGCTTCAGGGGCAGGGGGGAAAGGGGGGAGCAGGAGAAAGAGGCAGTCAAGGGTATTGGGAAGGCATCTCCTGGGGTCTCTGAAGCCCTGGGTTACCAGGCATCATGAGCAATGCAAGAGGATGACCAAGGTAGAGGGGATGGGGCCTGAGTGACTGCAGGGGATATTTTGTGGCTCTCACATATAACCCAGGCCCAGGCTCTTGCCTTAGGACAATGGAGGGGGCGTCTCCGGCCTTCATCAAACACCAGGAAGATGCTCCAGCCCTAGCCCTACCACATTACATCACAATTCCAATTTCAGGCCTGTCTTTCCCGCTAGCCTGTGAGCAGTTCAGGGTCAGGAACGGTGTTTAATTCATCCATGTGTGCACAGGGAGCAGCCGACTGCCAGCACAGAAAACACTCAGGGATACCTGGCGAATGCATGACTACAAGGAGGGATGGAGCCAGGGGTGCCTCTGAGAAGCATCTGCAAGGGCTAGAGGTTGCCCCCTCTCACCAGACACTCAGCTACTGCCATAGCTCCATGTCCCTAGCACCATCCTCAGTCCAGCCTGTTTCCCCACTGGTGCTCTTCTGAGCTGCGTGGGTACATGCACTTACTGCCCACAAGGTAAGTGACAGGCCAAAGCCACGCTGAATTCCAGTCCTGTCCAGCCCTGGCTCCTGAACACAGAGCTGGTCCTGCTAGAATTCTGCAGATGAGGCTGCAGACAGGGCAGAGAGCAGCCCAGAAGCTGCAGGGTGAGAAAGAGTGCTGTAGGGACAGGACAACCCTGTGGCAAGGAACCAGACAGGAGGCCTGGAGAGCAGCCTCTCCCACACTGGCCTGGGTGTCAGATGCCAGAGGAGTGAACAGAGCTCAGGAGAAGTGGTGAGAACGCATTTGGTCCAGGGCATGGGGTAGAGAAGAGCACTAAACAAGAGGTTTCTGGGGTAGCCAAAAGGGCCTGTGCAGGACCTAGCCGGCAGCAGGGGGAAAGAGGCCAGGGCATGACTGCCTCTCCTCTGGCAGCCCATTCTGGAGACCTAAATTATCTTTGACTTTGGAGTCAGTCAGATGGGACTTCCAAGGACTCCTCTCCGTCTCTTCCCTCCTCCTCCCATTCACTTACCAACCCTGAGAAGTCCTCACTGACACAGGGCTAGATCTGGTTCTAGAACCCTGGCGGGACCATGATGGTGAGCGCGCCCAAGCACAGCCCACACTTCCTCATCCAACTGCTTTGGTGTCTTTGATCAGACTGTCGCCAAGGCGAGGCCAGTCAGTGAGCAACTCAGAGTCCCCCTGGGAAAAATGAGGTCCTGCTGTCTGCTCCCCGAGTGCCCATGTCTTCAGACTCTTTGGTTTCTTTCCTTTTCTTCTTTTTCTCCTTATTCCCTTGGATGAACTGTAAGAACGCTGGAGGAACTGACCTGGGTGTTCCTGGAAGGAGCATGCACCACCATCCAACTGGCTGCCCTGACCACCCCATGGCCTGGCCTCCCCAATTGGAATGCCTGTGCCACCCCAGTGCCAGGTAGGAACTTGTGTTTGAGCTGATTCCAAATCATTTATGATAACTGGACTCTGTAGAGTAAAAAAAGTCTATGGGATCAGGTCCTGCCCTCTGGGCACTCCTTTGACAGGTGTCCAGGGGCAGAGGAACAATGTGATAGACAAGGTGGGCAGATGGGCAGAGGCCAGGGTGAGAAAGCAGCCCCCAGCTCCCTGGTGCTCACCCGGGCAGATCCAATTCCCTCCCCTCTCTCTGTGAAAAGCGCCTAGCTGGGATGCCGATTTTACCGCCTTCAAAGCAAAGAGAAGATCTCAGAAGACATTGGACCCCAGCACTCTGAAAACACTGGGGTGCTCCCTCAGCCCCAGTTCTCTGCCTGATTTGTGTGGGCAGTGGGCCTGCTGACAGCTGCGGGGGGCTGAAACCCCCTCCTCCCCTCTGGGGAGTCAGGCTGGTCCCAGTAGAGCCGAGCTGCTTCATCCAGCCTGATTCTGAGGCGGGCTCCCCTTTCCCACTGTGCCACCTACCTGCATTTCGGGACCTGACTTCTGTCTTCTCTCTTGCTCGCTACCTACTTGAGACTGCCTGCCTTTGGCCTGGCTTGGGAAAGGGCTGTGGAGTTAAATCAAATTGCACTGAGACCTCCAGAGGCAGGTTAAGCTGTTCCCACCCCCAACCTCTCCTCTAAGCCTCCAGAAGGAACAACCAGCTGACTGTAGATGGGGGCTGTCTGTCACCATTCTCCTCTGGTGAAAGGCTTGGCGAGGGAAGATGAATGGCCTGAACTCCACTGCAGCCCTCCCTTGAGGTGGCTGGTGACAGCTGGGCAGGGGGCAGGGGGGTGGGTCTGGACAAGTTGGCAGGTGTCCCTGTAGGCCCAGAGCTGAGAACTAGAGGACCTAGGAGGGGACTTGGTGGGTGGTCCACTAAAGAGCAGTCTGACGCTAGTCGGTCACACAAGCTCCCTAAAAGAACCATCTAGATCTCTGCCTGCCTAGAACAATAAGCACAGACTCTGATCATTCCCAAAGGGTAGACCCAGACTCAGTGGCAGGTAGAGGACCCCGACAGGTCAATGGTACAAAGTGGAGAGAAGTGAGGACTCTGAGTTTAAGAACTGGCACCCTCAGGTTGAGGGGTCCTGCTGTCCCTGCAGAACAGCCCCAAGATCCAAGGGACTTCCTTCCCTGGCTGAGCATGAGGGCGGACCCACAAAACCAGTCAGGAAGACAGGCTTGTGGAGGGAAGTGCAAAGTTAAGACAGGAGTTTTGCTTACAGGATCCAAAGCCAGAGAGGGGCCCCCAGGGGCTGTTGGGGAGGGACTGGGGTCTGCCAGAGGAGGCTGAGGAGGAGTCTGCAGCGGGGTTCCGGAGGCAGGCAGTAGTAACATCTCCAGGAGCCTGGGCCAGAGACCCTTGCCATCTGCTGGTCTCTTGTCCCTTGGTTGCATTTGGGAATCTTTCAGCTTTGAGTTATTAATATTCCTTTTAAAAAGTTCCCACCGGTTTCTTGCTGGGATGAGGGGCAAGGGCTGTCTTAGAAGCTGGGCGAGGCTGGGGAAAGAAGGGAAGGAGCTGGTGCACAGGGTGCTTACCACTCTCTCTTTGTAGACGATGTACTTCAACCACTTGAAGTCCTGCCACTTGAAGCCAGCGAGGACAAAGAGAGAATCCCGCTCGTATTGCTCAGGCCGCTGCATGGCACCTTCCGGGTAGGTGATGCGCAGTGTGGTTTTGCTGCCCACGTCCTTCTCAAAGCCTTTCACTGGTGCCGAGTTCAGTCTACAGAGAGCAGGTGTCAGAGCCTGCTCTGGGCTCACTGCAGGACCTTGGGTCTATGTATGGGGAGGCACCATGACCCCAGAGTACCCCAGGGGCAGAGAATGGGGAGCCCAGGTCACTCAGTGCCACCTAGCTTTCCAGTCTAAAGCCCTCCAACCCAGAGTTGTTCTTGAGGCTTCTGTTGACCTCCAGCTTAGCTGGCCAGATGGACAGACCATTCTCAGGTTCAGGGACCAGGGCTTGGACCAGAACACACAGGCGCCTGAGGCACCGTTTGGGAAGCTCACCTGACCACAATATCATAGTCATCAATTCGTGACCCCAGAGACTTGTTGGCAAGGACACCTCCATTGCCCACGATGATGCAGCGGCGACAGCTGAGGCTGAGGGGAGAGAAAGCAGAGACCTCCAGAGAGCTGTCCATCATGTCTCCTAGCCCTGCCCCTTCGGTCCTTAACCACGTGCCCTTGGCCAGACCCAGGCTGGGAGAGGAAGAAGACCAAAGGACTTCTGGCAGCATTTCTGCAAGGAGGCCAGAGCCATACTGTGGCTATCTGGGCCACTTGGGACTGACAGATAACCCTAGTTCCTGACAGTTGTCCAGGAAAACATGGCTGTGGAAGAGTCTGGCACTAGCTCTGGTGGTGAGGAGAGAGGCTCTGGGTTAAAGATTCCCCAGGGGCAGGTGGGGTTTAGGCAGCTTTCAGGAGAGAGGGAAGAGTGGGGTGAGCTTTAGGGTTATACCAGAAAAGCGAGAACAGGGGGATGGATTGGAGGGTTGGGCTTATTTCCAATTCAGAAGCCCCCATGCTTCCATAGGCACTAGGGAACCCAATGCATTATTTTTCCTGCCCTTGACCCACTGCTGTCTCTGTCTCCGGATTTAAGCCCTGGCCCTTCAGCTCACCCACCACCCAGACCTGCTGGATCAACCCAGCACAGTGCTTTCCACTCTTACCCGCCCCTCAGATGTCTGTGGTGTCTTGCCAAGTGCTTATAGCCCACAGGGGTACAAGCCCTGTGGGATGGTCTCATTTATCTGCTCACCCGAACCAGTGTGTCCCGTGCATGCAGGTGTGTGTATGCCGGAGAATCTGCCTGTGGCCAGGAGAGGCCTGCTGGGCTTGGATAACTCTGCACATACCAGGCAGGCGAGGGGCAGGAGGCTGGGCAGCAAGTGGCTCACCTGTCCAAGGCAGGGGTCAGGCGGTACTCTTTGGTGACTGACAAGATGGCTTTGATCAGATTGTCTGCAGACAGAGGAAGAGGTCACCATTAGAGGTCACTTAAGTTCTCATGTAAGGTTTGCCAATCTGATTTGAAGGTACATGTTCCTGTGGCTGGGTGGGGGTGGGAGGGGACCTATGGACATAAGGCTGGGCTGAGCCACTGACCTAACTTCACCCTGAGAAAGAGAGAGCGAGGAGAGAAGCAGGCATGCCCAGTTCTGCCTGCAGCCCACCCCAGCACTGGCCTGCAGTGCTGCCCCAGCCCTTCCTGGGAGTTGCATCTGGTTTTCAGCAGCTCAACAGTTAGGGCCTCAGGGCATGCACCCCCAGACCTGGGATTTGCCCAGTGGTGCCGGCACCTGGGACTCCCACCTGAATGGGATTATCTGCTCAGAGAACACACCACCTTTGCTCACCCCTGTGCCCTCGCAGGCAGACCCTGGAAGCAAACCAGAGACAACCTAGAACTGAAGAGCTACAGTGGTGCTGGCCAGCTTCTACCCTGCAAGATCAGGCAGCCTCATTTTCTCATACAGTCTTCTTCTTACTTCTTCTCTCTAATACTGCCAAGGCTTAATCCTGCAGGCTAAGCTGTCTCTCCCTCCCGACCTCCTCACTTCTCCATCCCTGGCAGCCTGGCATTTGCCCACCTGATGCCACACAGGCTGCCCTCAGTCAAGACGCATGACCTCTGTGCTCTCAGACCCTGTCACCACTATTCAGACCTCATTCTTCTTGGCCTCTCTCTGGCTTTGGCAATGACAACTGCTCTCCTTTCAAGCTCTGTTACAAAGAGAGCATTATAAAAATGTGTAATATACAGTGACATTGGTTTGGGAGTAAAATCCTAACTCTTGGGCTCTAAGCTCTGTAACCTTAGAGTTGAGCTTTAATCTCTGGTTTCCCTAACTTTACAATGAAGATGTGGACTCTGTCACCATCCTGCTGCTCTGCCCAGGCCACAGAACAGGCTGGTCATGGAGGAGGGGCAGTGCCCACCTCTTAGCCCACAGCACCTGCCCCGCATGCACATCACCTTGAGGCAACAAATGGAAGCTGAAGGAAGTGGTGATGTGATTGGGGAGCAGCTGCCTGGGTGAACAGTGACTCTGCCGCAGAGATGTGCCCCACATGCAATCATCCTCAGGCTGACGTCATGCAGTTGCAGACCCGCTCTCGACAAGTGCTAGGGTGCCCGGTGTGGGCACTGCGGGAGGGACTAGGGCCAGGCTGCCCCAATGGTGTCAGCGCCTGCTACTTTTCCCCCAGAGTGGAATCGCAGCCGTGAGAGTGAACGCTGTCTCCTGGGGGGGTCTTTGCTGGTGTGTCAGATGGCTAACCCTTTCAACATGGCCAGCCAGAGTGTCAGGAAATGGAGCCCCTCTGACAGTTAGTGGGTGAACTCACTGATGTCCAGGGAGGTGAGCGTGTGGAGCTAAGCACGCTCTGTGTTGGGTCCTGTTTATTTACCTTTCACATTTATTGGGCAACTGACCAAAATAAAATGAAGATAGTAATTCCTACTCTGCAAAGTTGCTGGAAGATAAAAAAGATATGTACATACAGACCTGAAGGTAAAAGTAAATAAACTGGTACAAACAAAGGGGAGAGCATTTTAATAACAACAAGTAAAGATGTGACTGTGCATAGAATCAGACCTTACAACTCTACTCCTAGGTGTATAACAACAACAAAAAAAACCCCATACATTTGTTTAAGGAGCTGGTGTAAGAATGTTTATGACAAAATACTGGAGGCAACCTACATGTTCACCAAAGAAAAACAGATTAAATGTAGATGACAAGGAATATTACACAGCTGTTAAAAAGATCAATGACCTAGAGCTCCATGTACCAGAATGTAGAAACTGCAAAAGCAAAATAATCAATTTGAAAACACACATAAACACACACACACACATATACAATGCCACTGTAAAATTTAAAGATACGCAAAAACAATACCACATTTGAATGAACATAGAAATATGTTATAGGAATATTAGCAGGTATTGGAAACATAACACTAAAACCTGGAGAACAGTGTCCTGGGAAGGAGGCAAAGGGACTGGAAGGGGTATCTAGAGCTTAAAGTATCTTATGTTTTATTTTTTTAACTTGGGTGGACATGGGTGCTCATGATATTACTTTTCATGTTTTTTTAAGTCTGAAATATTTCATGTATAAAAATGATTTTTTTTTAATTTAAATTTTAAAATTTTGTAAAAAGATGGGCTGGAAACCACTGTCAGGTGGGGCTGAGAGGTCAGGCTGAGGACTGGAACATATCCTCTGGATTTCATGGGGGCGACTGAACAATTTCACTGGAATGGCAAGGGGAGAAGATAAACTCTTGCAGTAAATGGCGAGAAAGAGGAAATAGTAGGCACAGCTAAACTTTCCAGAAGTTGAGTGAGAGTGGGGTAGAAAACAAACCTGTAAGGAATGTTCTATATTAAGAGCTTTCAGATATACCTTTTGGTGGACCTCAGAGAAGGCCACAGATCCCCTCCCTTCTCACTTCCAATTTCACCTCTAAGGAAAAGCAAATTACTGCTAATTGGCTAAGGTCAAGAACATAGATTGAGGGCCTCCCCGGTGGCACAGCGGTTAAGCGCTGGGTTGTAAAGCTGCCCGCAGCCTCTGCGGCGCCGGTTCGATCCCCGGCTGCTCCCTGGCCACCGGAGGAGGGTCCCACATGGCGCGCAGACCTCTCCTGCCGCCCGCTGCTCCCCTCAGCAGTGTACTTCGGTCCTTCTGCCTGCTCTGCTCCCCGCTCTGGCTCTGGTGAATTCTCTCACCCTCCCGCGCTTCTGACTGTGCCCAGTGCATGTATAAACAAACAAGCAAACAAACAAAAACAAACAAATAAATAAATAAAACATGCCTCTATTTAAAAAAAAAAAAAAAGAACATAGATTGAGTTTTGGTTTTCTTGGAGGGGAAACTTAGCAGAAAGCATAAATGGTCTCCCTGTGGGCCAATGGGCTCTGTATTGGCCTTTGTAGTTTAGTAGGATCAAGTCTCCAGTGAGGACGAGGCTGCTTGGCTACCTGAGCCCAGGTAACAGGAGTTCTTCATGTGATTCAGCCCAAGCCATAGACTTGCCCTTGGAAATTTGGGGTCAGAGCTCGAGCTCAGGAGTGCTTTTATTGGCTGCTGCCTTTTTTTTCAGGGACAGGTAAGCCAGCTTAGTTTTGAGGTACTGAGCCCTTGGTCAAATAATTTATTTAATTCTGATCACAATCTAATACAAAGTCCTATTTTCTCTATTTAACTGATGAAGAAACTACAGGTTAAGTAATTTATCCAAGGTTACAGCTAGTCAAAAGGTAATACTAGGACTCCGATCCTTCTATGTTTGACCCCACAGTCTAAATTCTATCATGCCAGGAAACAGTGTAGGCACTTGACAAGTAAACAGAATTGTTACAGTATAAGGGATGAGAAAGTCTTAAGTTGGAAGGGAACAGCCTGTGTCCCGAAGGCAAGGAAATATACTCTTGAGAGTACGGGGGAAAGGTTAGCCTGGAACAGGATAAGAAAGGACTGGAGGGAAGGGGCCCAGGTAAAGGTGAAAAATATCAGAGGGGATGATGGAAAAGACTAGGATTATTTGTGGGGGATGATCTCTATTCTCTGTGGGGTTTTCCCTCATACCTGGCCCTCTAAGGGAATGTCTCTGGCACTCCTTTTCTGGGATTTCACAGCATGTGATGTTCTGTCATTAGAGAGCCTTGCAATCTAAGGATCTATTTCCACTAGACAGAAGTTTTTGGAGGAAAAGCACCGTATCTGTCTACTCCACTGCTGCATACCTAGTCCCTGCTTCTGAGTAAATACTCCATTAGAGCAGGAAAAAAGGCAGGAAAAGAGCGAGACGAAGTAGGCATAGTTAGGCATGCATGGCAATTTCTGAGGGCACAGCTTTGCCTTGAAGTGCAGGGAGACAGTCTCTAGGGGATGAGATGCTAATGTTGAGTGAGTCGAGGTTCCCAACATACCTTGACCTTTGATTCCAAAAGGCGGCACAAATTCCCGGATCCTAGCCCACTTGCGGAAGGAGTCATCCAGGAACATGGGTGCTGGCTTGGAGAACCTGGAATACAACAGAACTGGTGAGCATCCCCAGATGCAACAGGCCGGAGCGCTGTTGGGTGCTTCTGTACATCTGTATTGGCCATGGGTCTGCTGGACGTCACCCTCCACATTCCAGCCCACCCTCCCCACCCAGGCCTGTTCTCTGGATAGCTCTGTCAGTGGGGTCTGACACAGCCTGCTCGGTGGCGCCTGAGTGTGAAGGAGTGGGCCTGGCCAGCCCTAGTGTGGCCAGCTGTGGGAGAGCAGAGACAAGATCCCCAGGGTGAGGATCAGCATCTCAGAGCTGGCAGGTTATATGTGGACACATCCATCAAATAGTCACTTGTTGTCCACACTGTTCCTGCAATCTGAGAACACTGAGATGAGAAACTGTCCTTTTTGAGCAGAAAAATATCCCCAAATACAGGCAGTGCAGGGAGACAGACTTTCGGGAGGTGGACCACCCAGGCTGAGGTGGAAGGAGAATTCATGAGCAGAGGGAAAAGTAGGTGAGAGCCATAGTGGAGAGAGCTTTGGTAGAGAAGCTTTGGCAGAGCAGGGCAGAGGGGAGCTTAGAGGAAGAGGAGCCTGAGCCAGGGACCTGGTGGCAGAGGGCAATACAGTGGGGACGTGTGCTGCCCAGGAGGTGGGGGAGGGGTGAACCATAGGGGAAGGGGTATTTTTGGCCTAGAGGAAAGAAGAGGAACAAGGATAGGGAAGGTAGGGTGCAGGAGTGGGCAGGGCAGGGTGCAGTATGGGGAGGAGAGGACAAAGGGATGCAAGAGAGTGAGGGCAGAATGAGAAGAAGCAGGAGGAACCAAGCTCTGTGAGATGTTTGGACAGAACTTCACATGGAATCCAGCACCTTGGTTTCTTTCTTTTTTTTTTAAAATATTTATTTATTTATTTATACAAGCACTGGGTACAGTCAGAAGCACAGGAGGGTGAGAGAATTCACCAGAGCCAGAGTGGGGAGCAGAACAGGGAGACTGACAGAGGACACTGCTGAGGGGAGCAGCGGGCAGGGCAGGAGAGGTCTGCACGCCATGTGGGACCCTTGCCCAGCGGCCAGGGATCAAACTGGTGCTGCAGAGGCTGTGGGCAGCTTTGCAGCCCAGCGCTCAACCACTGTGCCACCGGGGAGGCCCAATCCAGCACCCTGGTTTCAAGACATTTCAGGGCCCCGGCAGCCTGGATGGCCAGCCCAGCAGCTTACTGGGTATTGAGTCTTGCTGCAGGCCTGCTGAGGGCCCTGCTGGGCAAAAATGCATGTGAGGAGACCTAAGCCTCTGTAGGTCTGATTTTATTTTTTTTGGGGGGGAAACTTTGATTTGTCATTGGTTTACAAATCATTCTTGATTTCTAACTCAACCCAAATCAGCCCAGAAGCAGGAACTTACCTCTAATGTACTCTAACCACAGCACACATTTCTCATTCTCACCCCATCACTAACATTACAATCACCATACCTAGGAGGAGTAATTTCAGCAACAGTTTGGCAGTTCAATATTTTTAGAGGTTATGAAGTGAACTTGAGAGAGGCAGAAAATCTTCAAGGCAGAAAACCACTCCCTCCCCGTAATGGGCTGTGAGGAAGAAACTGTCAACACTTGGTAGCATGGAAATGTCGTTGGTTCCTGCACAGCGGCTCTCCTTTGGACTTCTGAGTTAGCACGCTTCCTTTCTGTGCATAAGGGCCATGCATATTTTTCATACCGAGCATATAAAACCTGTTAATTAATATGCTTAATGTTTTACTGGAGGCACTGAGGCTCCTGGCTGGAGTCTCTGTGTTACAGAAAAGGAAACAAGGTCCCGGGATAAGCCTGCGGCAAGACTATGTGTTGGGACTGAGCTTATAAAATATTTGCAAAGTTTCTCAGTTAGGCTTGGACAGGGTTTTATCTGCTTCCCAATGTGTACTGGATATCATATGCTAATAAAATCTCCTAAGATCTAGCCAAATAGTCTTTTGATATATTTTTCTCTGTTCCTCTCCCTTCTCCCTTTCCCTCTGCCGATTAAAAAGTTCATTATTGTTCACTTTTGCTTTTTAAAGAACCTTGTTTTTTGGTGTTATTTATAATGTGTTAATTTTTTAAAAGAAGATTTATTTATGCATACAAGAATGGGTATATGCCAGAGATGGGGGGGAAAGAGGATTTACCAGAGACAGAGTGGGGAGCAGAACAGGCAGATCTACTGAAATACACTGCTGAGGGGAGCAGCGGGTGAGACAGGAGAGTCTGCTGCACCATGTGTGTTAGCTCCCTGGCTGGGGATCAAACTCATGCTGTAGTGGTTGCGGATAGCTTCATAATGCTGAGACTTAACCCCTTGTGCCACCAGGAAGGCCCAATATGTTAATTTTTGGGAAAAAATATATAGGGACACAAATAAATAAAAAATACCTGTAATCCCACAATACACAACCCTTCAGGATATATCTGTATTGGTTTTCTTTTCCCATTATTTTTTTTTAAATATTTATTTTACACAAGAGTTGGGGTACAGGTCAGAGGTGCAGGAGAGTGAGAGGATTCACCAGAGACAGAGTGGGGAGCAGAACAGGCAGACAGACCAAAAGCACTGCTGAGGGGAGCAGTGGGTGAGAAAGGAGAGGTCTGCTGCACCATGTGGGTATCTCCCTGGCAGCCCGGGAATTGAACCCGCACTGCAGAGGCTGCGGACAGCTTCATAGCACTCATAGTGCTCAACCCGCTGCGCCACCAGGGAGGCCCCCATTATTATTTTTCAGACTATGCTGTAGACCAATTTTTTTCACCTTATGACATATTGCTATGCAAGTGGACACAACTTTCTCCTAATACACAGAAATTGGGCCTCAAAACAAAAACCATAAACTTCTGGTAACATGACACCAATCAGAGCCCCAAAATTACAGGTACAAGAAAGACAAATGAAAATATGAACAGCTGGGCCTCCCCTGGTGGCGCAGCAGTTGAGCACTAGGCTGTGAAGCTGCAGTGCTGGCTCAATCCCCGGCTGCCGGCGAGGGTCCCACATGGCACGCAGACCTCTCCTGCCGCCCGCTGCTCCCCTCAGCAGTGTATTTCATCGGTCTGTCTGTTCTGCTTCCTGCTCTGGCTCTGGCGAATTCTCTCACCCTCCCGCGCTTCTGACTGTACCCAGTGCTTGTATGGATAAATAAATAAATCTTTAAAAAAAAAAATAAGAAAATACGAACAGCTGTGCTGGGCTGTGTACCCACCATTCTTAAATTGAAAGTTCATCCCCACTGTGATGGCATTTGGAAGTGGGGCCCCCTCAGGAGGTAATTTGTGGGATTAGTGCTCTTCCAAGAAGAGGCCCAAGAACTAGCTTGCTCTTTCTGTCATATGGGGATGTAAGAAGTCAGCCATACCTGTGCAACCTGGAACCCAACCTTGCTGTCACCATGACCTTGAAACTCCAGTCTGTAGAATTTTGAGAAATAAATTTCTGTTGTTCACAACACACTCAATTTATGGTATTGTTGTTATAGAAATGAGAGTTAAAACAGTAAGTAATGGGCAAAAAAAAAAAAAAAAAATACATGAAGAGGATTATGGCAAAAAGCACTAAATGGGCCAGATAATGGTTTCTTAAAAATCTCTGCCTATGGTGTGTAATGTTTATTTCTTGTATTATATCTTCAAACATTCTCCAGTTCCCCTCCTTCTTCATGGGCCCTGCCTGTTTCAGTGCTTGCTGTGCAAGCTCGCTGTACATCCTTGAAAGGTGGTACCAGTCCTCCTCTATCATGTCATTCTGCTAGTTGGGTGCATCTTTGTGCAGAGAATACTAATTTCCTCCTATGTAAAAATTAAAAAATGTTTACCAAAGTAAAAATCAAACAATAATAAATAGTGATACCTCCACGGGCACATCACCCAGGCTCAGCAATGATCACAACCACGGCCACTGTGTTTCTCTTATAGTCCATTACTTTCTTCCTATATTATTTTTGAAAATCCCAGAAAACAGGCCATTCATCCATAAGATTTCAGCACTGGTTTCTACAAAACAAGGACACCTTAAAAACCACAACTGCACCTGAACAACTCTTAAAATCATTATCATGCCTAAAAATTTAACTGTAATTTCACAACATCAACAAATACCCAGTTTGCAGATTTCTCCTATTATTTCATTCATATTTGTGGTGGTTGTTTAATGATTGGTTTATTTAGAGCCAATGAAAGCATGGTCCACGCATTCTACCTGGCTGCTCTCTACTCTTTTAAATTCACAAGTTTCTTCTTCTCTCTTTTCCCTTTTGGTCTTGGCTCCTGAATCCTTCTGACACACCCCAGTAACCTTAGATAATGTCCTTGCTTTCTAGTAAAAAAGATGTTCCACAAGAACAGACATACAGACCAATGGAATCGAATAGAAAATCCAGAAATAAACCCACAGATTTATGGTCAACTAATCTTTGACAAAGGAGCAAAGACTATGCATTGGAGCAAAGAAAGTTTGTTCAATAAATGGTGCTGGGAAAACTGGGTCGCTACATGCAAAAGAATGAAGCTTGACCACTACCTCACACCATACACAAAAATCAACTCAAAATGGATTAAAGAACTAGACATAAGACCTGAAACCATAAAATACATAGAAGGAAATATAGGCAAAACACTACGGGATTTGCACATCAAAGACATCTTTACAGACACATCACCCAAAGCAGTGATAGTGAAGACAAAGATAAACAGCTGGGACTACATCAAATTAAAGAGCTTCTGCACAGCAAAAGAGACAATAACAAAAACAAAGAGAAACCCCACCAACTGGGAGAACATTTTTGCACCCAACACTAATGATAAAGGACTGATCACAAAAATCTGCAAAGAGCTGATGAGACTCAGCAACAACAAAGAAAATAATCCAGTCAAAAAATGGGCAGAAGAGCTAAAAAGAAACTTCTCTGAAGAGGAAATGCAAATGGCCAACAGACATATGAAAAAATGTTCAACATCACTTGTAATCAGGGAAATGCAAATCAAAACTACCAT